CCTAACTTATCTTCCAGCAAGTTTAGTGTTTCTGTCTTAATATTTAGATCTTTAAACCACTTCGATCTTAGTTTAGTGCATGGTGATAGGTATGGTCTAGTTTTACTCTTTGGCAATTTGAAATCTAGTTTTTCCAACACAATGTATTAAAGAGGATATCTTTTCTCCAGTGAGGATGGTTGGCTCCTTTGTCAAAGATGTGGTAGCTGAGTATGTCTGGAGTTGTTTCTGCATCTTCTAATCTATTCCGCTGATCCTCAGGTCTGTTTCTTTGCCAGTACCATGCTGCTTTTGTCTCAGTGGCTTTGTAGTATAGTTTCAAATTGGAAATTGTGATACCCCCTGCCATGACCCTGTTGCCTAGAATTGCTTTTGCTCTTCTAGGCCTCTTCTGGTTCGAGATGAATTTTTGGATTGTTTTCTCTTGTTCTGTGAAATATGCTGTGGGGATTTCAATCGAGATTGTACTGAATCTGTATAGCAGCTTCGGAAATGTGGCCATTTTCACTAGGTTCTTCTAGGTTCTTCACTAGGTTCTTTCACTAGGTTCTTCACTAGGTTCACTAGGTTCTTCCTACCCAGGAGCAGGGGATGCCCTTCCATTTTCTTATATTCTCTTTGATCTCTTTTTTCAGAGTTCTGTAGTTCTCAATGTAGAAGTCTTTTGCTTCCTTCATTAGATTGACTCCTAGATATTTCATTTTTGGGGGTGCTATTGTGAAAGGGATTGTTTCCCTAATTTCTCTTTCAGTGAGTCTGTTATTTGTGTACAAGAAGGTTATTGAGTTTTGAGTGTTGACCTTGTATCCAGCTACTCTACTGAATCTGTCAATTGAGTCTAGAAGTCTTTTGTTGGAGTTTTTTAGGGTCTTCTATGTAGAGTATCATATTGTCAACAAATAATGACAGTTTCACTTCTTCCTTTCCTATCTTTATTCCTTTTATTTCTTTCTCTTGTCTAATTGCTATGGTTAATGTTTCCAAAACTATATTGAACAGGAGTGGTGATAATGGGCATCCTTGTCTTGGTCCTGATTTTAACATGAAGGTTTTCAG